ACCTGTCATTATGGTATAGGTATATAGTTGGGTTTTATTAATGCTCGAACACTTCCCAGGTCTCTCGTGCGCTCACACAACTGCACAGTTGCCCTCGGTCGGGTTTTCAGCAGCCCTTTGCAAGCTCATGGTCACGAACATGGCAACTCAAGCCGAGCATGGAAATGGGTGGCTAGGAGAAAGTTAATACCCTTTGCCTGGTAATGGCTGTATCTTCTGTTTTAAAGCATGTTACAACTAAATGTTTTGATTTGTTAGTATTAATCTTGCTGATGATTAGCCTATCCTGTTCTGGTTTTGTACAATATAATTCTTTGAAATCCCTGTTGCATTACACACCCAAACACACCAGCACACTGCAAACAGCTAGAGAGCACGGAGCCACCCCTGCCTGGCGGAGTGTCCCAGACAAGACAACGCCATCACCCCGGTCCTGGTGACATTGGTGTCCAGAGGCCTGGGTTAAGAGTGGAAAACTCATGCACCAACGTGCAAACTCCCATCTACTAAGTTCAGCTGTAATACGGGTTTTGTGCTCTAAACCTTCAAAACCCGTTACGTTGGGACAGGGAAGAGAAGGAAGCCGGCAGTTCTGATGAAGCAAAATGAAAGTGAATTCACAAAAACAAGATTTGAGTTGTATCTAAAAAAACAACCCAAAGAAAAAGGAGTACAGCTCCAGTCCACAGCTGGTAATAATCCAGAGAGGACCACTGTTGCAACAGGGAGTTAGGGATTTATGCCAGGAGGCAACATAGCCCTTTGGCTGCAGGAGGGACTTTGCAAACACCAGACAGGCACATTCGTGCGGCTGAAAGCTTTCCCCATGGCAGCTTCTCTGCTAGTCCTGTGCCACGAGGGGAGTGGGGGAGAACTAGTACAAGCTTTTAATTGCCCTCCCCACCCCTTGACCTATCGAAATGTTTTAAACTAACCACAGAGACAGCCTGGCAGTCTACAGAGACTGGCCCAACAGCGCAGGTGAGCTGAAGCCTGAAATGCCGACGGAGGCGGCTGTCCCAGAGCGCTGCCAGCCCAGCACTTCCCACCCACGGCTTCTTTGCCCTGTGCTGCAGAGCAGCTTCTCGGAGACACTTTCCTACTGGGAGTAACTGGGTTCCTTCCCTGCTTTCCCTCCTGACCAGTCCATTGCACTGCCTTGTAGTCAGCTTCGCACTAGGTTTTTAACGTATCAGGCTTAACACAGCAGCTTCTTTGCCTGCATGGACATATGCGGCACAAATTGCGTGTCCAGGTTTCTCTCAGCCTGTTCAGCCTCCACAATCCCTCCTGCCTGGCAGCTCTGGTGCAGGCAGGAGCTCCGATGGCCACACAGAGCGGGCTGCAGGCACCAACCTGCACAGTGCCGTGCACATCAGCTACCAAACAGGGTCCTGACAACCCGTCCTGCTGTGGTGTGGTAGGACCAGGTTTCTCCCTGCGGGAGAGGTTTCCAGTGTCCATCAGTCCATGGGGACACCATGGTCTCACACGCTCAGTCCTTCCTGCTCCGAGAGCGATCAGAAATCCAGCGCAGGCACCTGGACATGCAGGTCAGTGCCTGCAAGAGGAGGAAGCAGGAGATGTGGACACGAGTGGAGGGGAACCCAACGTGGCAACTGTGTCCAAACCAGCCATGTCATGCAGCCCCCAGGCAAAACTAGTGGAGGATCATCAGTCACCTGCAAAGTCGGTGTGACTGCTCCTGTGCGGGGTGACCAAATTCAGCTTCTGCTGGAAGGCTTTGGGAGCACTGCGCTCAAGCCTCATGCTTTGTGCCAACCACCAGACCCCCACCAGGACTTCAGGAAACCCCTCAGGACCAGTCATGGCATCCCTGCCTAGGGCAGATTTTTGCACCTTTCTCTGAAGCAGCTGGTGCTGCCAGATACAGAGGGCACATACCAATAGGGTTGTGCATCTGTGTTTGAAGCCTGGAACGAAGCCTTGCCTCCACCGCCAGCTCCAGGAAAGATTTCACCAATACATAACAAAGGAGCACTACTTTTCCCCTTTCCCTACTCCTGAAAAATCAGGATAGACCGGTGAGAAGCTGCAGCTGAGTGGCAGGAGGAGTACAGGCTGGGCACAGGCACTTCACCTCTTCCAGCACTGGGGCTTCAGCAGGCACCGTCCCTGGGCACACAGCAGGATAAGAGCACAGCAGATCTAATGGCACACTTGTCGTAAGCTTGCTTCCCAGCTGCTCTGGAGATCGCATACATGGCATTTCCCTCTGGTTTCAAGCCTCTTGGCTCTTCTATAGCCCCCTGCAAACCTTTGCTGTCCCATCTCCTCTCACCTTTCAACTCCCCCTCCATCTGCAGAAGCATTAATACAAACCACTTGCACAGCCACTTACTTGCACTCCCTTTCATATGAGCTCAGCAGCCTTTCATCTTCCCTGGAGCTCTGAGGTTTAAACCTTGTGCTCTGACTAAAGACAGCAAATCCAGCAGCAAGTGTTCTTTGAAAGCAAGAAGGAACTAGAGCTCTTTTACCAAGAGCTTGATGAAATTCTCCTCCAGCATCTCAAACAGCGCTTGCTTGTTGCAGAGTGACCAGCAAAGCTCGTTTGCACCATTTCGCTGGGCTAGGAAGCATAACCCTCGGAGTGCAACACAGCGCTGGCAGGAGAGAGGGGGTTTCCAGGCATCCAGCTCAGTGGATTAGCATGGAAGTATATCACAGATTTTTACGTAATCAGCAGCTGTGCTTGCTCAGACTTGCTATACATGGGAGTTTTCTCCATTCATTCAGTGAGCAGGGGAAGGTTTTAACAGCATCTGAGAAAACAGGACTAGAGGCAACTCAGAGCTGCAGAAGTTGCAGATATTGGTCATGCAAGCACACAGGAACCGTTCTTGTGTAGGCACAAGTGCACACGCGTCCTCAGAGATAGAGATGCAAAAATTCTTTCCTGCTCTAACATGCATACGAAGACCCTGATGCCACCACTCTTGCACACATCTTTCTAGACACAGTTATATCTTTGTTTCAGAAAAGAGGTCTTGGTAATCCTTCCCTACCTGACAAAATGATGTTGTCAGTAACTCTGAAGTAGCCGATTGCTTTGAGAAGGAATCAGACTAACCGATTATTCGAATTTTGCCAAGAAGGGGAAAGCTGAACTGGGATCCTGCTTGCACTACAGAGCGTGGGCTGGAGGGCAGCAAGGTGACTATCAGCCAGAGGAACTGCTGTTAACAAGGGGCAAATATCAAGGTCTTTTTTATGCCACATTGTTTGCTTGCTGCAGAATGTTATGTTTGTCTTGCTGGCTACTTCTGGGATATGTATGAAAGAGCATTTTTCATGCTCAGTGAGTTAATTATTAGCCATGGACAAGTGGCCACTGAGCAATTAGAAATCACAATACAAGGAAGAAAGCACAACAGAACACCTTTCATCTTAACACGGAAATAAAAGCCTTTTTCTTCTACCGGGAATTACCCTTAATAAAATTGTGTCACTTGACGCCCTGAAATCAAATTCTTCTGAATATTTACAAAGACTTTCCTTGGCACCTATCATCTTTTCTAGAACTTGGAGTATGCAGGTAGATCAACAGCCATGCTCAGGAAATGCACATTCCTACCACTGCACCATGCAGTGTCCGACAGCACACTCAGTCCAGGCCAAAGAAAACAGTTTAGGGAATTAAAAGCCTTGGCTTCCTCTGAGCCATCACTCTGTCCAAGACAAGGGGAAGGTCAGAAATATTCATCCTGAAGACTACGGACACATTTCAAGAGACACGCAGTTTAGTTTGACATACCCCAATAATTTTGAGTCCTGGCCAAGGGTTAATTTTGGTGCAGTAGGTTTGTTGGATATACAGGTGGGACAGTGCTTTATTGGTTTAAGTCTGATTGTTGGAGGGGTGAGGGGTAAATCCCTGCATCTCACTGACTTTACCAGCAGCTGAGGAAAGAAAAAAAAGTAGGGGTGAAAAATATTACCCTTTTTCTCTTTTGTGTGTCTTTGAAGAGATCAGGGAAACAAAGAGCAGTAATTAAATACAGGCTTCAGAGGGGAACTCTGCTCTATGACATAAGGAAGAAATTTGGACATAAGGAAGAAATTTTTGCAATGAGGGTGGTAAGACACTGGCACAGGTTGCCCAGAGAAGTTGCAGATGCCCCATCAGTGGAAGTGTTCAAGGTCACGTTGGATGGGGCTTTGAGCAACACGACTTAGTGAAAGATGTCCCTGCCCATTGCAGGGGGGTTGGATTAGATAATCTTCAAAGGTCCTTTCCAAACCAAACCATTCTGTGAGAGTAGGTTTTCCTAAGGAGTGGTTTTGGCACTCAGGCTCACAAGTGAACAAGCCTTCCTTTCAGTGCACGAACAACATGGAAAGAAAATATGACCCCAGCTATTAAATTATTAGAAGCAGCATTATCTCCTGGCAAGGATCAAGGGAGCAGTTGAGCTCCGGATTGCCACCTGACTCTCATGCCTGCCAGGGCTCAGTGGCTTTTGGACCATTTTTGGACTTCAGCCTTGTGATGGGCTGTTCTGATTTACGAGCGTTAAACAGATACCATTTCTGATTTTGAATCAAGTCTCTTCTGGTTTGGCCAAAATCTCTTTTTATGCTGTGCACGCCACCACTGTTGCCTGTCTGTGGGATACTGTTCCTGGGGCACTCCGCTCTGACGGACACATTGGTGGCTTGCAGGCATTGCATTAACCGAGTCTGTCATAAGAACAATTCCCCTTGTTTTACAGAAGGGAAGATTGGGGTGTTGGGATGAGACCCACGGGCAGTCGTGATGTCATGCAGCAACACAGCCAAGAACAGAGTTATCAACTCCCTCTTTCCCATTCAGTTGCTTGACAGAAGCGATTAGGTGCTATATTTCTTTCTAGCTCAAGTAGCCACAACCCTCGTATCCTCCAGGCACGAGGATTATTAGATGACTTGATCAGTTAACTTAATCATTTTGCAAATGTGATTATTCACCAACTTCTGTGCCTTTTCCAGGGAATGCAAGAAAAATGACTTTACTAGCGTTCATCTTCCTGCTTGCCTTCCTCCCAGCTGAATCTGCAAGCAGCAGATATGTCCCCAAGGCAGCAAGTAAGTGTAACTTGTCTGGGGCACAGATCTTGTGGGTGGCCCAAGACCAGAGGTGGCATTACTAAGGGGGGAGCAGGGTTCAGAGCGTGTCTCTACCCCATCAGTGCCCATCACTGCCATGGGACCTTTCAGACCACATGATGCTGCACAGCCCTGGGTCCGCACTTGCCCCGGTACACCCGACCTGCTCTGCAGTCCCATCGGGTTGTGCAGCACAGCTGACATTTACAGCCAACATGTTTTCCTCTTGCAGTCTCCAGCCCTGTGTTCGGACCACGGCAGGTATATGGTCTGCTCAACGGGTCAGTTACAGTGAAATGCTTCTACCCTCCCACCCGCGTGAACAGACACGACAGAAAGTATTGGTGCAGGCAGTCGGCCACGGGCTGCATGACCGTTGTCTCCACCAACGGCTACACTGCTCCAGGCTACGAAGGCAGAGCCTCCATCACTGACTACCCACAGGCAGAAAACTTCCAGATTAACATCTCTGAGCTTACAATGGCAGATGCAGGCACCTACCAGTGCGGTGTTGGTATCAATGGCAGAGGGCTCTCCTACAAAGTCAGTCTGGATGTTTCTAAAGGTAATTACAGTCTTAGGGCTCCTTAAAGTATTATTTTCTTTTACTTCTCCCCCCCCTCCCTTTTTAATAAGGCTCCGCAGATTGTCTGTCCAGTGTCTAAAAGCTCAAGATGCTCCATGCTTTTGGGAAACCAGCAGTTTTCATTTTCCCCTGTACTCTTACAGAATGAATTTTTTTTACTAAAAACATAGCATAAAAATCAGACTAAACAAACCTCATCTTAAGATCACAAACATTGCTTAGAAACTGCTGACCTCTCTCGGCCATTAAAGTTTAGGGAGATGCAGTCAGGGGGCAGAACTGCCCATCACTCCGATGTACCCTCCAACCCACAGCTAAGGCTGTGCAAGCCAAACCTGTGCTCAAGTCCACGAGAACGCAGCGTGCAGGACGGCACCACACTTCTGGGCAAGGCCCAGGGTGCAGAGCACGGTGCAAACTCATGGCACGGCCCCTGGCAAGAAGGCTCTGGGAGAAACTCCGCTATAGAGCGGGCAGTGATATAGCATAGAGACCGCAGTCCTGAAATGTGTGACAGACATGGGACACAACTGGGTAGATCATGCTCTGACCAGGAGTGGCACATGGTCATATAATATAGCAAAGTAGAGAGAAACCCTATGCTAAAAAAAAGCCTTCAGAGGTATAGGGGAGTTGCACACAGTTACCGACAGAGCAGGCAGTAGACACTGACTGATGTCTCTGTATGCACAGGTCCACATGTACCCGAGGGTGCTGAGCTCTTCTATGTGAAGCTGCACAGCACTTTGACCATGTCCTGCAGCTTTGGGAAGGAGTATGAGAGCGTGAGGAAATTCTTGTGCAAGATGGAGAAAAACGGCTGCCATAACGTCATCGATAGTTATGGGAATATCGATAAGAGGTACACAGGGCGAGCTCTGCTGAGCAATGAGGATCTTCCAGGCTCATTCAGCATCGTGATAACTCAGATGGGCTGGGAAGACTCTGGCTTGTACCTGTGCGGGGTCGGCTTCTATGGGGAGAGCGGAGAAACGAAGGAACTGGACGTGCATGTCTATGAGGGTGAGTAAGCTATCCCCAGTGTTTTTTCTCTTCATCTCTGCTTCTCTTTAGAAGGATCGCTAGCAGCCTCACTTTATTTAACAGTCTCACTTTATTTAACAAGAACTTTAGTTTCCCTTTGCAGAGTGCTATTATCCTATCCTCTCATCTAGATACTTCCTTCTATTCATGTAACTCTAATGTACTAAACCATCACTAATAAAGCTTGTATCAAGACTTAACTTTCTCAGCAGTGGCTAGCTATCTTCCCCAGTCTGGCTAGCCCAAAACTCCAGAAGGCAAATTCTGCCTACCAGTTTGAGACAAGCAAACTGTCTCTTCAAGTCTTAATTCCTTAAATCTCAAAATGACAGATGTAGAAAGAAGACCTGCCCTTCCCCTAGCGAAGGGAGCAAAACTTTGAAGTGTCAGTACACAAAGACAACCACCACCCAGTGAATTTGGGAAAAAGGAAGGCGTGACAGACCCTTTAGTGTCAATTCCTAGCAGTGCCAGGACAGCCTCCTACCACCTGCACCCCTGAGCTTCACCTAGCCTTGCTTTAGCCAGAACAGCTTTGTTTGATCTGATATTTATTCTCTTGGGAGAGTGCCACATGGGCAAAAGTTAGACATGTATTGATGCTCATTTCATTTTTATCTCCAGAGACAAAAGTTCCTCAAGCAAAGCCCACAATAATCGGAGTAAAAGGAAGTTCAGTAACTTTTGAATGCCACTATGAGTCTCTAAAAAAGTCATCAGCGAAGTACTGGTGCAAGTGGAGACAGAACGGGTGTGCTCGGATCATAGAGAGCTCCGGGTATGTGTCGGAGTTGTATGAAGGAAGAGTGGCCATGTACGACAGCCCAGATAACAACACGATCACCATCATCCTGAACCAGCTGAAGGACACTGACAAAGGCTATTACTGGTGCATGACAGATGAGGATAAGGAGCAGCAATCATCAACTGAGCTGAAGATCATAGACGGTATGAGCTTGCGCGTTGGCAGTTCTCTGCCTGCTCAGCAGGTAGAAAACAACCTCGTAAGCACCACAAAGGAGCAGATCTGGCTTTTTAGGAAGAGATCTGAGGTCCAGCTCTGAACTTCTGTCTCAGGGTGAAACATTGTGCCAATCCCCCCACATCTCAGTAGCTTTAAAAATGGAAACACAAGGTTTCAGTTTTATGGGAAAGTGTTCACAAAAATTTCTCATGCAAGTATTTCTTAAGCATTGCAAAAAAACCCCCAAGCTTTCACCCAGAGATGCATATACAGCATCCTTAACATTAATTTAGCAATGTAAGGAGCACTTTCCCTCAGAGATACGTCTCCTGGTTCATCATGTCTAGCAGCACCACTGCCTGTTGACTACCATTCCCACCACTGAAACCACTAACGTCAGCCTTGATGTTCTGTTTGCCCTTGCAGGAGAACCTGGACTGAAGGGAAAGAAGGAAGTGGACGCGCAAGTGGGTTCACGGGTCGATTTAACTTGCTTTTATCCATGCAAGTACTACTCCTACCAGAAGTACTGGTGCAAGTGGAGCAGCAGCAGATGCACCCCCATGCCTGCTTCTGACCAAAGGCAGCCAGGGCCAGACGTTACCTGTGACACCGACAACAAGACAGTTATCCTGAGCTTTGACTCAGTGGCAAAGACAGACCAAGGGTGGTACTGGTGTGGAGTGAAGCATGATGGCCTCTTTGGGGAAACCATGGCAGTCTACCTGCAGGTGACCGAAGGTGAGCTCCAAGGCAAAGGCAGGCAGGGGCTTTCCTGCTCCTCAGGGCTGTGAATCATGCTGCCTTCTGCTGAGAGAGAAGTCCTCTCCATATCCACTAGGTTGCAGCACCTCAAAACAGAAGAGCTCTCATCCAGGCAGCCTCACAGACTAGGTGCCAAGATCACCATGATTTTGCGCAACTTGTCATAGAAGTTTTCATCCACTCACTGGTTTCTGCTTCCTGGTCATAAAAACCCCCACCGGTTTAAAAATCACTTCCTTCCACACCATTTTTACTTTTTAACCCTGTCCTTACTAATTATTGCTATTACAATTTGTAACATCATTTAGTTTAAGCAACATCTGACACCTGTCAAGTGAAGGTGACTGCATGTAGTTCAGAGACACATCTTGCTCCAGGGAGCTTATTTTAATAAACAGGAGAACAGTAGGGAGCAGGAAAGGCAGGGCTGTCACCAACTCCCCTTGGACAGCAAGGGGCTTAGTCTCAGCTTTGGTGCAGTATCTTATTTTTGGGGGGAAGGAATATTGTTAGAAGCAGAGCAGAGAAAAAATATAGCACTAGATATCCCACATGCAACCTCCCTAAGCGGATGATGGTCAAAATGAAAACAGAGGGAAACAGCCTCATTTCACTGCCTTCGGCAGGCAAAGAGCCAGAAATAAAAGCAAACCAATTATTCAAAGTTTGTTCAGGAATCACTAGAGGTAGAACTCAAAAATGCAAGACTTCTCAAAAGTGTATAGGCAGAGAGAGCCTACTTGAGATTTTTGCAATAAATTATTTGGAATGAGATTATTTCAGATCTCTAAACCCCATTTTAAAGAGCCTTTTATGTGCAGCCAAAACCCGCTGCAGTTCCACGTGCACCAAATATGCCCAACCAGTTTTTGTGTCACCATCTCCATGCTGCTGCTCACGCGACTAACCGCCCTTCTTCCCTGGGAAATGTAGGTATCAGTGCCGACCGCAGCCTAGAGCTCCTGAACGTTGATGCCCCCAGCCCTGCCAAGGGTGGCTTTATTCCCCAAGGAAGAGCGTACAGCGGTGCAGAGGAGCAAAGCGCAGCTGCCTCGGAAAGGTTAGTTCTCTCCAAGGCTCTGTCATTTATCGTTTTTGTGACGTTTATATTAACCTGTTGTTGGTACTGTGTTTGCACACTGCATGTAAGGTATAGCAACAAAAAAAAAATCTTGCCCTAAAGAACTTAGCTCAAAACATCAGAGGAAAAGAAGCAGAAAAGTTACAGCAAAAGGCAAGATGTCTTGAAATTAATTTCTAGCTCAAGAAAATACAGTCCCAGAAGGGAACAATTAGAGATTCCAGGTACCAAAAAACTAATTGAAAATACTTCTGTCAAGATTAGAGAACTTTCCTTCACACATTTATAACCAAGCTGCTGATGTAGCTGGTTTGGCACAACCGCTGGCCTACATTTTTATTTGTTCCCCTGTGATGTGCTGGGATCCAGTTCATTAACTGAATTGCATCGTGCTCACTGAGATTTACCATCCTATATAGATTTTAGACTACTGCAAATTCATATACATTATTCAGTCTTGAATAATGTATTTAAAAAAAAAAAAAAAAGTATTTCACAGTTTAGTGATATATCTTTCCCTCCGTTCCAGCTCTGATCAAAGCCATGGCCCCAATGTACTTCTTTTAGTCCTGGGCCCTGTTGGTGCCGTGCTCCTGGTCGTTGCGACAGCTTTTGCCGTTTTTAAATACAGGCAGCTGAAGAGATCTGGTGAGTCCTGGCCTTTTCTAGTCTCTCAAGAAAAGTCAGCAATATTAAGACAAAGGCGATGCCTTGTGCATGCTGCCATCTGTGCTGGGCTGAGCTGCTCCCCTGGCACCCCCGTACGCGATGGGCAGACAAGGGACCCTGCTTCTCCCACTGACCCCACCCATACAGCTCCAACACCCAGCTTACAGGGTGCCCAGGCTGAGGCAGAGACCACCCCTCTGTGGGCTTTGCGCGTGGCATTGCACGGTGTCTCCTTGCACAGAGGCAGTTTGGACACCAATGCGCTTGCACTGACTGAGCAAGCATGCAGGGTATTTATCTCCTCCCTCTTAACAGACCTCGTGTCCGTCGGGAGCTACAGGACAAACATCAGCATGTCAGACTTCGAAAGTGTGAAGGAGTACGGTGCAAGCAATAACGCCTGCGTGAAAGAGAGCCAGGAGACTCAGATAGGAGGGGACGGTAGGTTGCTGACTGATGGGTTTGCTCTCCATCCCCAGCACGAGAGGTGCCGGGGAAGGGGTTTGCAGAAGGACCCTACAAAAGCCACAGAAATACCTGCCCACAGATGCCCCCCACACCCTAACACCTCCCTTTCTCTTCCTGCAGAGTTCATCGCCACCACGGCCACCCCAGAAAGTGCTGCCGAGACAAAGAAGGCAAAAAGGGTAAGAGGAGGCAGGAGAGAGCCCACTGACCTGGGAGGCACCGCCACAGCTCTCCAACCTCCACCAAAGGAGCTGCCTTCTCCCAGGGGCCTTATTTATACCCAGGTGCTCTCCATCTTACCTGGATCTGGCCACCTGCTGCAGATCAGCCTCCATGGGGGGACCTTAACCCTTTCCTGACCCCACTTTTTCGCAGAGACAATAATACAGTACACCAAGTCAGCCCCAGGTAGTGTCAGGAAGGTTGGGGTTGGGTTGTTACCATAAGTATGAAACACTGGGATAAGCAGCTGACCAGAGGCCAGAGCACATCCCACCTCTCAGCCTTCCCCCAGCGCTGTGCTCCCACGCGGGCAGCGGTTCAGGGGGCAGAGGTAGGCAGGGAGGTCTCTGCCATCACAAGGGCTGTGACTTGCTGTTGTGGCCCTGCCTCCCCTCCCCTTGGGTAAGATTATGGTCGAGTGGCACCACTCGGCAGTAACCGAAGGTGCCAGATGCAAGCCCTTCTTTTTAAAAGTCCCTAACCAAAGGCGATAGGTAGCTGTTGTAAGTAAGTGCCAAGAGCTGAACCGGAGCGATAAAGGAAACTATCAGGAAACCAGTAAAACCCAGCAGCTTTAGGACAGGTAAGCTGGATGCTGACAACGCGGGGACAGGCATGCCGCGAAGTCCCAAACCCACAAACGTTTGGGGTCTTCCCCGAGGCTGAGCAAAGGCGTGATGCTCTCGCATCGCCACCGGCGTGACCCGCCGGATTGTCCCACTCCTTCAGTCTGCCCCTATCATCCCAAGAAGCTCACGGCCCTGCGGTGCTGCCCGTGTTAATGCTGTCCTTTCCCCTGCCACATGCTGCTGTCTGTCCCCAGCCACTTAACGGTGTCCTTCTGTCCTTCCCCAGAGCTCCAAAGAGGATGCTGACCTCGCCTACTCTGCCTTCCTCCTCACCTCCAGCAGCATTGCACAGGGCAGCTCCGAGGGGGACAGCGCTGCCCCGGCCGTGTCCCCTCCGAACTGGGAGGGCTAGATCTAAAGGCAAGGGACCAAGAGGTGGCAGCAACTGGGACCAGCTCTACCTTGAGGATCAGAGGGAGACATCAGCAAGCAGCACTGTTTATTGCTACCACAATTTGCTATAGCTTGACTTTTTTTGCTTAAATTCAGCTTCGAGCAGTGATTTAGGAGGAATTCTTTGATGCCAAATGGGGTGGCTGGGCTGGAGGCGCAGGTCTGAGCGAGCAGGTTGGACTGGGAAATGGCATGGGCTCAAGTAGCTTAGTCCACCAACAGCCCCAGCCCCACCAGTGCCCTTCCAACGCGGTGGGCTCTCAAAGGCCAGAAGGCGCATTTTAAAAAATCTCTTTTTTTTTTGAAGGCAGCTGGAAAACCCTCTAGAATGACGACTCGCGCTTTTGATTCCTCTTAGCTTTCTCATCCAGAGGGCAGTACCTGCAGACCAGACATGGTCTGAAGTGTTCTTATGCACAAGCAATAAAGAATACCACTGGCTTTCAGCAGACCAGGGGGACTTGCAGTCCGTGGGAGGGCACAGGGAGAGTGCACCCAAAGAGGCTCAGTAAGGGTGCATTGGCGGGAGGGGGGGGGGCTTTCTCCTCCTTTTACTGCAGCATTATAGCATCACATCTGGTGTTGCAAATGGCACAGGACGATAGAAGAAACCCACAATTAATGGAGATAAACAGGATGTTTTGAGTAATGTTTCTCACGTGCATTTCCATCAACAGTAGGAATTGATAACAGCATGACATTAATTGGTACGATAACCTATCAGCAGCCTGTATAGCTGATTAGGCAATGGGCACTGGTGTTCACTGGCACTGTATCCATTTGCATAGTACAGACCAAATTCCCCAGAGCAGCTGAACCAACCCATTTCTGACTTGGAGTCAGAACAACTGAGCCCAATCCGTGCTCCTCTGCCACAGAGCTACCCCGATGAAAACCCACCCTTTGCTTAATAAACCTGAGCCATACATCACTCACATATTTTCCCTGGCTGACTTCATGTTCATCCAGGCAGAAACGAGGATGACTATAATTAAATGTTGTCTCGTGGTCTTATTTTCAAGAGAGGATGACTAAACAGAGAAAAATAATTTATTGATGCATGGATTTCCAAAGAGCAGCACGACACTGCTGTCAGTTAGATACAGGTACAGAAAGCTGAATGCCCTGCAGATAACGCAATGTAGGAAGCAGCAGTGATGAAGAAGTTGTGACAAAGCAGAGAAGCAATTTTCCCTGAATACCAGGAATGGGATGGGCTGGTGCCTGCCTGGCTAAAGAGAGGGGCTGTGGAGGTGTCTGACGGGGCCAGAGCCATTCAGGAGAGAAGGGGCAGAAACTGCACAAATAAATTCAAATTCCTGAGCCCATGTTGGTTATGTGCAGCTCTGACAGCAAGCCATAAAATACAAAGAATGGGGAGATGAAAGGGATGAAAGGGAGACATCACCCTGGCTAGAGCCTGAGCTGATGGTGTTACAGTAACACCACAAGTATATTTCTGTTTTAGTAAAATATTAGCTACACTTTAAAATGAAAACAGTATGGTCGTTCAGCAAGATGTCAGGCAACGGCTGTTTGCGTTAGCCTACAGACACAGAGTTTTCATCAAGGATAAAAAACAAATTGTGCCTGAATCATGTACCTCCCCACAGTAAGCGCTGAGATGAGCTTGGCTCACTGCGAGTAGGAGGGCAGCAGCTCCAGTGGTATTTGTGTTTCCCCTCCCAGCCCTACATTTGTGTTTTCAGGGCTGCTCTCCCATCCACATTGCAATAGTCATCACCTTACTGATACCAAGGCTAGGACCTCAAATGTCAGGTTATAACTCATCTGCCTCATGTCCCGGGCTGCATCCCCTCGGCAGCACGGTGGGAAGGGGCTTGAATATCGGAAAAGGTGAGGAGGGGCCAGGACAGGTCTGCGCCTGCCTGGAGTTGCTGGAAGTGAATGAATTGTTCTGGTGCAATAGGAAAGGCGTGCACTCGGAAAGTGTCCCCCGGGGGTGAGCTGTCATAAAGCTGCAGGAAAACGCTAAGGTTTGGAAATTTCTGAGATGAGAAAACCCCTTTCGCTCTCCCTTCACAAATCCGTTTCCTCTTCAACCTGCCCGCCGGCGTCCTTTTCTCAGCTCCGCTCCTCCCGCACTGTGCTGGGAGCAGCCAGAATGAGCTAAACTCCCGGGAGAGGTGCAGAGGGTGAGAAATGTGGATGGGCTGAGCAGCCTGCCAGCCGGCTTTGCCTGCACCCCTCAGCCCCGGCAGCTGCCTGCCCATGGCTCCTGCTCCTTCCCACCGCTGACACTTCCATCTGGCACCTCATTTCCAAAGGGGCACATCCCTGGGCTGCTGCAGTGCTTTGCAGCGGATGGGAAAGTGTAAACTTAAGTTTGACATGAAAGCAATAAAACATGCATGGATTGAGGCATGCAACCCTCCGCACAGGATACAAAATCAATGAAATCTGATAAATAATAATAATTGTGACAGGGTAAGCTGAGGATGTGGAATAAAACCCACACTTCTCACTCAAGCTGTGATCTAGAGCCCACCACGATCAATGGAAAGGTCCACAGGGACCTCACCAAGCAGCCCCATCTCCTTCACCAGACTGCCAAACGTGCCAACTGATTTCCTTTGGTCAGCGACGAGCTGTGGTATCTCATTACGTTACCGCTTCATTCCTAAAGTTTTTTCTTTAACAGAAAGTCATGGTACGTGCAAGATACCTGTCATTTTTAAATGGTTAATTTCAAAGATGATGGTGTTGAAGATCGGCTTTCGTGACCACTGACAGAGCGTGGAGGGGTGTATTCACCCGTTTATGCCCTGGCACCAGGACAAATGAAGGTCACACTGCAAAACCACATGAGAAAGCAAATTAAAAGAATCAAAGCCCTGAGAAGCTTTCCTTTGGCATAAGCAAATATTTGAGGAAGGATAGTGAGCAATCAAGGAGATCTTTCCTTTAAAAGTGAATCACCAAATCCCGCTCAGCGTGAAGTACATACGTATATGCTATAGGCAAATGCTGGTGAACTCACCCAGCCAAGTCACCAGCCAGGCCTTTTTGGGAGAGGACAAGGAGTCTCCTCCTCCTCTGCAGCTCCTCATTCTGCTGGCACCTGATGAAAGGCACAGCGCCCACCGGACTGACGGAGGCTCTGGTGATGCACAGTGTGCTGCCAGAGGTCTTGACCAGGGTCCTCCTGTGATGGGGATGAAACCAAAGCAGTACACTGTCCTTGAGGACACAAGGACCTTATTCCATAATAACAAAATCCTGTTAAAGAGCCTCTTCTGCAGCTAAAGCCTTCCCTGTGTCGCCTCTGCAGCATCACTAGAAATTGCCCAAGCTGGGAACAGCCAGCCCTCCGTCCATCCCAGCTGCTGAAGTTTGCCCGTGCCCGTGGGCAGGAAAGGGAGAGCTAGGGAGTGTTGGACTGTCCCATGGGAACAGAGGTGCTGAGAAGAGGTTTGTGCAAGCCTGAAGGATTCAGACCTAGAAGCAATGACTCGACCCGAACAGCAATAAGAGCTGCTCAGAGCCAGGGGCGAGCATGCAGCGCGCCCTGGTTGTGCTCATGCCACCACAGCCGGCAGGAGTTTTGGTACACCTTGCTCAGCTTAGGTGATCCCTAGAGCAAAATGCACCAAGTCAGACATCTACCCTCCAGTCTTACTCAAGCCTTATGTCTAATGAATGCAGCAGTAAGACTTTATCACTTGAAATATTAGGACTAGAGTGCTAATAAGCAGCATTTACCTGGGCCCTGACACCAAGAGTATATAACACCTCCTGGCTGCCTGGAGAGTTGATCTGGGTGGTCTTGGTTCATTTACTAACACATTAGTCCTCTGCCATTGTCAGCTACTGCAGCGATATGTGTATTAACACCTTGTGGGAAAACACATTGGAAAAGGGACCTGGAGCGTGCAGAACCAGTGGGTACCAGCAATGTGTGTGCAGCCACTGGTGGCTAAAAGAGCCCAAAAGGGGTGAAAACAGACCAGAGCTATACATTATGCACAATAAAAATGGTCTCGTGGACAAGCTGGGGTGATTTAGTATCGTTCGGGTCTAAACTTTGGTCTCTCTGGTATGCCAGGAACGATGCCTCACCTCTGGGATGCTAGCATTACCAGGAGTGACAGTATCTGCTATGAAAGGGCACCACAGTGAATTCAGAAAGTTTCACCAACGAGAATCACATAATTCCTCAGAATTTTGACAAACAGACTCAGCACAGTTTCAGGTGGGGTTTATTTACAGTAATTGCAATAGATTTCCACAAAACTTGCTACTGAGTGTCAGTAAATTACACAATACGTACAAGAATCTTTTTCTGTTCAGCAACCACATACCTTGCATAGAAAGTTTTCTTTTACTGATAAGGCACAAAATATCATCTCAAAAGGAAACACAGATTTCTAAGGCCTGACATACCTGCTAGGACCTATTCTTGGAAGCATTTCTCACCCTGTGCACCTTGTTTCAGCCACAGCAATCAGCTGCAGCAGTTGCATAAGACTGAGCCCAGGTTTGTGAGCACTGCTCTGCAGCATTAACTGCACCAGAGTAGTTCCAGCAGGCACACTCAGAACTCGAGTATACATTCCCTATAGAAAAATTTTATAATTTAAACAATACTTTTATTAAATGATCACAGCTTATGTCTGCTAGCAAGAGAAATCCTTTTAGATTTTCCCTTGGAGAGCATCCTTTGATAGAAGTCTGCTAAGCGAGTGCTATGCTGATTTGATCAAACTCGGTATTTCCACCTTAATGCAAGACTCTGCTGATGCCTTCGCCTATGTACCTGGCTAGCAAAACACTCAGTGTTTGACTGAACACAGCTGCAATCAGTGAGAAACTGCACTGGTTGATACAGTACATTATTTTCCCGTTCACCGCTGGTGTGTGCAATGTCCCAGCAGCTTTGTTAGCCCCGGCCATTGGTGGGTCGTTAATGCCTTCTGCTCTCTAATGAGATTTCTCCAT